CCCCACATATGAGAGAAAATATGTGATATTTGTCTGTTTCAGGTTAATTTTGCTTAATATGACTTCCTCCAGTCCCATCCATTTTCCTGAAAAATGACAGGATTTCATTCTTTGTGGCTGAATCATACTCTATTTTGTACATTTACCATTTTTTTTTTGCAAGAGTTAAAGGAGTAAGATTTATTTAAGAATAGAAATAGGAGCAAGACTCTTGCAGGGTGAGAGGGGACCCAACAGCAGGTTGTCATCATATATATATATATATCTGTATTCGTTGAATTCCCAATATATATATATATATATATAAATGATACTGGGAATTGATCCCAGGTATGCTTAGCCACGGAGTTGCATCCATAACCCTTTTTAAGATTCTATTTACAGACAAGGTCTTGCTGAGCTGCTTAGGGCCTCGCTAAGTTGCTGAGGCTGGCTTTGAACTTGCGATCCTCCTGCATCAGCCTCCTGAGCCTCTGGGATTACAGGTGTGGGCCACTGTGCTCTGCATACCATATTTTTTAAAGCCATCCATCTGTTGATGGGCATTAGGCTGATTCCATATCTTGGCTATTGTGAATTGTGCTGCAATGGACATGGGTGTGTAGGTGTCTCTTTTGTAAATATTTTTTTTTTAGTTGTAGATGAACATGATTTATTTATTTATTTATTTATATTTATTGGCCATTTGTACTTCTTTGAGATGGGCGCTCAGATCACTTACACTCTCATTCTTTTCAGCCTTTTTGTATCCTCTGGATAGTAACCCTCTGTCAGACGAAGGGCTGGCGAGATTTTCTCCCTGAGCAGGCTCTCTCTGTACTCTATGGACTGTCTCCCTGGCTGTGCAGAAGCTTTTTAATTTGACGTGATTCCATTTGTCAATTCTTGCTTTTAGATCCTGAGCTGTTGGAGTCCTAGTCAGGAAATTGTTTACTGTGCCTACATCTTGAAATGCTACCCCTGTTTTCTTCCAGCAATTTCAAAGTGTCAGGTCTTACATGAAGGTCTTTGATCCATTTTGAGTTTATTTTTGTATAGGGCGAGAGGTAGAATCCAGTAAGGAGAAGAAATTATGTACGTCCCATCACCAAGCTGATCTTTGCCAGTTTCGTTCCTTTTTATTAAGTGAAGGATTTTACTCTTCTGTTATGGGGTTTCCAGCGGATTCTGGTTCCTGGCTGTTGTTCTGCTTGGCTTCTGACAGGTGCTGGACACTGAATCCTGCAGAGGACCTCACCACCTGTGTCCTCCTACAGGCAGATCCTCCGTATCAACAAGAGTCCATTTCCTACAGTTCTCTGTCACTTCCCTGGAGAAACAAGACTGCTTGACTCCGACGGACTTGTTGTTACTACGTTGTGAAATAGGGTTCACCTTTTTTTGTCTTTTTGCATCTAGATTATTGGTGAGGTTGGTCTGGGATTTTCTAGTCTCACAGTGTCCTTGTTCAATCCTGATCTCAAATCATGCCAGTGTCGAACCCGAGTCAGGTATTTCGTTTGCTTTATCTATTCTCTGGTACAAACTGTGTAAGGAAACAATTTTCTGTTCATTGAAGCTTTCGTAAAACCCTCTTTGAAAAATCGCCAGAACCTGGCATCCGAATGATTTTTATAAATTTGGTTTTGCTTACAATGCTGTGTAAGTTTTCAATTTTACTACCAGGAAACAGCTACTGATGACGTTCTCCATGCCTAGCGTTCCTGATGCGTCTGTAAACGCTTTCTATACTCCTCCTGTTCCTGCACTTCCTAACCTTGACCTTGACCTTCCTACTCAGTTGTTTTTTTTTTTTATTTGTTTCCAAAGAAATGGCTTTGATTTTATTGATCATCCACATTTTGTCTGTTAATTTCTGCCCTTATTTATTATTTCCTTTTTTCTTCTCTAAGGGATTACTCTATTTTAGTAGGTTCTGAAATTAAATAATTAACTGGTTGGCTTTATAGCTTTCTTTTTGAAATGCATCAAGAGCTGTGAGTTCACTTTTAAGGGCTGATTCAGCTCTGTCTCAGGAGTTCTGATGCCAAGCGGCACTTCATTCCCGCAGTTTTAGGTATTTGGTTATTGACACCCTGATTTGTTCTGTGATGCATGAAGTATGGTTTTAGTGTATCTTTTTCTAATTACTTATGGTCAACTTTCTCTGCTATTTGGATTCCAGCATTTCTCCCTCCAGGGGCACGTAGAAGGTTTGTGCATTATCTAAGGAGATAACACAGACTCCAGAGGCTTTGGAAGGTCATTTGGCCACACTTACCCTGCTCTGCCCAGCACTTGCTCATGTTGTCTCCCTGCCTTGGCTCTGGCCGCGGGGATGCAGTTTTAGTTGTCCTGTCTCCCTCTGGTTTGGAAGCCATTAAACTACCTCTCTCCATGTATTTAGTCCACTAAAGCACAGGGCTCTGTCCAGCGTTTTCACTGCTGTGACTGAAAATCCTGACCAGGACTGTTTTAGAGGAGGGAACACCTATCTGGGGCTCGCCAGTTCAGAGGTTCTCGTCCAGAGGTGGCCGGCTCTGCTCCTCAGGGCTTGAGGTGAGGCACGTCACGACGGAGAGCGTGGCAGAGGAAAGTGCTCCCAGGGTGATGGGGAAATAGAGAGACTGAGCTCAGCCCACCAATATAGAAACCCCAAAGCCCCCCCCCCCAGGGACCCGCTCCCTCAGCCACACCCGTCAGTCCCTATCAGGGGATTAACCCACTGATGGGTCAAGGCTCTCATAACCCAGTCATTTCACCTGGGAACCGTCTGCATTGTCTCTTGCATGAGCTTTTGGGGGACACCTCTTATCTAAACCACGATAAAAATGAGCTGTGGATATGACGATGTTCTATTTTTTCCTAATTCAGTCTGAAGTCATTTCATTTTCGCCTCCTTCTCTTGCTGCTCTCACCCCAGACTTTGATTCAGTATTATCAGATAAATAATTCTCATCAGGGGTTCAGTAGATTGGCCACAGCCCTTTTCTCCATTCCTCTGCCCGGGGTTGTCTGTAGCGGGCTGCTCTGTCCCCTGAGGTCACTTGTCTTCTGGCTGAACTGTGTCCCCTAGCAGCTTTCTCCTTAGTGATCTCCAAGGGGGAGGCTTGTTCTCCTCTCTGAACTCCGAGGCCCTCTGCCCTCGCCCCTGAACAGCAGTTTCAGGGAACTCGAGGACCATATCCACAGTCCTCCAGGCACGCCGAGGCTGCTCACTCCTTGTCCTCACGCACACATCGCAGCTGAGGACGCTGTGTGGCAGTCTCGTTGCTCTTCTCTTGCAATGCCTTTCCTCCCTCCTTTCTGCACTGACTGTCACCGTGACCCACACACCTCCTGCCTGGCACTTGGTCTGCTCAGTGACTCGGCACTCCTGATTCTTTGTCGAACCTGGAGGATTTCCGGCCACCTGTCTTCACATGTCGCTCCTTTGCTATGTTCTCATTCTTTTCCGTGTGTACGTTGGACGCTCACTTCATTTTCTATGTCTCTTTTCTATTTGAAGTAAAAAAAAGAATCATCAATTAGATATGAACTAAAAATAGATCCATCATTTTAAGAAGCCCAATTAAGGATCCTAGAAATGAAAAATAGAATCATTGGAAAATTATTTTTTAAACCCCAAGTGGAAGTGGAAGAATCTGTGAACTGGAAAGCGGCCCCTGAAGCTCATTCTGAATGAAATACCTGGAGGCAAACCTCAAGACGTGGGGTGAAGAGATCCAGAAAGCGCACCGGGAGGTCAGTCCCTGGCCCTCACTCCTGGTGCTGGGTCACTCTTGGCTTCAGGTGGACTTTTGTCGAAGCCCTTGTCTCCTCTCCACCACGTGCTTCTTCTTCCGGTCCGTGGAGGGCTGTCTTTGCCCTCTGAGTGTCGATAATACCTGATATGTGTAAGTATTATACATGTAATGGATGCCAAAGGAAAGGCGTTCCAAAGAACAGCGACGTGTGTGCGGACGAGGAGGGAGCAGCGTTGGAGAGGAGAGCACAGTTCCAAGTCTGAACTTGATGCCAAGTGTCCTGGAGTCCAGCCCCACGTCCCCTAAGCCTGCTCGCTGGAGGTGTCTGGGCTGCAGAGAGCCAGCCTCCAGTGCCAGAGGGGACCAGGGCAGGGTGCACGTCCAGCCCCGAGGCCACCAGGAGTACAGGAAGGGGTTTCCTGCCTGCATCTTGAGAGCAGGCTTCTGGGCAGCCTAATGAAGACGGGGTGCGAGGCTCTGCTGCATTGGGACCCAGTGAGGCTGCGTGGACGGGCCAGCAGGGCCGCCTTTCCCATGGGGCACAGTGAAGCTGACCAGATCAACTGCACTGACCTGAAGAGGTGGTCAGCCAATTCCCGTCTTGAAGTCCACGAATCAGCTGCTGCCTGTCGTGGTAAAGAAACACTTGATCTGTCAGTGCTGTTGGGCTGGCCAGGAAGCGGCTGGACGGCTGAGGGCATCCATCATGGCAGGGAGAGGTGGATCCCAAAGCCGGGCGTGCTGCTTCTCTTGGTAGAGGTTGCAGTTACAGATCAGCGTGTCCTACCTACTTAGAGCCAAACCCAGGACTTCGTGGAAATTGGTGAAATATTTGTGCCAAGGGGCCCCTGCTAAGTGCCCTATGGAGCTCCTGCCACAGGCCGTGGGAGACAATCTGCCATGGGGCAGTGCTGCCCTGACTTCAGGGGACATGGGAGGGAGGGACAGCAGCACGGGCGCCATGTACCTGCACCACGCACAGCGGGACTGACAGGCATACGTGCAGCAAGCGGAGGCTGAATCAGTGGCCAGTGAAAACAGTGGCCACACCTTGGCCTTCTAAAAATCCCATCAGTTTAATCTCATTTAACTGAAACGCCATCCTGGGAGGATCTGCAGGCAACTGAACGGCGTTAGGCTGTGCTGAGCCGCGAATCTGACTTAGGGAAAAAGGTAGAGGCTGCCTCAGCCAAAGTCCAGCCTCTTGCCCCCTGAGACGTCCTACTGAAATATCCACAGATCCCAAACCCGGAATGAACCACACGAGACACTGGCTGCAAAAAGCAGGAGGCGTTTATTCTCACACAGGCGCCTGCGGGTGCACAGCAAAACCTCAGCCGGAGCTTCGGTGAACTGGCACACCGGGCTTTGGGGTATAGATCTTTTATAGGGAACAGGTGGGTTAGGTCTTAGCTTAGCACAGCAACAGCCTTCCTATTGGTCCCTCTGAATTCAGCAGTTGAGTCACCTAGGGGGGTAAACTTGTTTTCCCACTTTAGTTCTCAGAAAAACCATAAAATTGCATCCTGTCCTTTTAGTTCCTGTTTTTACCCTGTTTGCTCAAGTTTGGCCCTTCCGGGGTTATCTATATGGAACATCTTGTGGTAACATTGTGCGAGACTTGAAGTGCTACGTGCAGCTGGTGGGGTTTTGACATGGGGGTTGGGTAAGGGAACATCTTGCAGCTTCAGGGCACAGGGGTTAGTTTTCCTAATGTTGGGCCTGGGGCCTTGGGGTCCTTCATTCCCCCCTTTTTTTATATCATGGATATAATCTTATATCCATTGACCCATCTGCTCGGATTCCAGCATTATTTCAGCTGACGGCTCAGCATACTGGTTGGGGGTTGGTATTTACTATTAATCTAATTTTGAATAGGACCCCAGGGTCATAGGCAGTTTTATGATATACTCTCAGGCCCCATTGTTTTTTTTTTTTATCCAATCTTTTGATGCTTTGCCTGCCTGAGTAAAGGTAATGTTTAAGGGGTTGCAGGCAAATGCGGTACATGGCCCTGCCCCGTACCATTTCAGGCTCCTGCAAGAGTCGGCAGAAAGTGGGGGATCCTGTTTTGTTTTGTTTTTTTTTTTTTATTTGAATTAAATCTTAAGATGAGCTTGGCTTCTACTATGCATCCCCCGTAGTTTTATATCCCCAAGACTTACAATAGTAACTTTTATGTTGCCCACATTTTTGTGCCTGCGACTTAGTTTTCAGGCCCTAGGGTAGGCCATCAAGCCCAAAGGGGGTATTTTGCGGATGTTTTTTTTTTTTTTTTTAAATTATATTTCTTGTCCCCGATAATACTTGTCATGTCTGGCTCACAGATTGGTTGGGGTTAACTGATATGGGGAAGACACAGCACAAAGCAAGAAAAATTAACAGCGAGTGAGTCTTATCTTTAGCGGATTTTGGGTACGTTGCAACTTTCATTCTGGATCCGGAGAGGTGTCTGCGGACTCCTGTGGATGTGCAGTCTTCACGTGGGAAGCATGGATCTAAGCAGCGATGCCGTCCACTTTGAGTGCAGTAGGAGTGGTCAGCAGGATAGTGTAGGGTCCTTTCCACCGCGGTTCGAGGTTCCTGCTCTGGTGCCTGCGTACCCAGACGGTATCTCCGACCTTGAAGGGATGTGGCAGCAAGGGGGTTTTAAGTTCCTCTTTGTATGCTGCGGCTAGAGGCTTCCAGACCTCGTTCTGGACCAATTGCAAAGCATGCAAATGAGTCTGCATAGATGGGGTGAGGGAGGCATAGGTTTTAGTTTTATAAAAGTTAATAGCGGGAGGTGGGGCACCGTACAGGATTTTAAATGGGGTTAGTCCATGTGGGCCTGGGGTGTTTTGGGCCCCATACAAGGCTAAAGGTAGGAGTTGTACCCAGTCTCTAGTGCCAGTTTCAAGTGTCAATTTAGTTAAAGTCTCCTTAATGGTTCTATTTATCTTTTTTACCTGTCCTGAACTTTGGGGTCTATAACCATAATGTAATTTTTAATTAATTTTCAATGTATTGGCTACCGCCTGACTTACCTGGGAGACGAAGGCAGGCCCATTAAATGTTTCCTTTTTGGTCCTCATTATCAGGATCAAAGGGAGTAAACCTCCGATAAGCCTCTTTTAATTTCTCTAAGAAGGCTGTCGGAGTTTCCTCTGACTCCTGGATAGTCTGTCTTACCTGAGCCAAATTGGTGGGCCGTCGCCCTGCTCCATGGAGACCCCCCTGTTCCATGGAGACCCGCTATGAGTAACTGGCGATAGAGATGTAGGTGGTTCTCACCTGCTTCAGTCGCATAGTCCCAGTTTGGCCGGGTTAAAGGAAAAGCTTCGTTAATCAAATTTGTGAGTTGGGTGGGGCGCCCGTCGTCCCCTGGCACATTTTTGCGAGCTTCCAAAAGAGCCTTTTGTTTTTCCTCTGTGTCTAATAGAGAAATCTTTAATTCTGCTACTTAGGGCTGGATAACCATATTAGCAAACATCAAGTCTACCTGTGTTGTCTAGAAATAAAAGCCTTAGACTAAAACTATTCTAGTAGTTCCTTTGACAGTTATCAGGCATTTCTGTCTAAGAATCTCTCTTGTAGCCTCCAGTCTATTTATTTATGGAAGTTACATTTAATTATTATTATCATTTAAGATGTCCAGGAACAGCTGTGCTTTGGCTTTGACTGTCTTTGCTAAGTGTTTAAGATGAAGCAAGTCAAACTGACTTTTGTTTCTACCTATTGTTTACAGTCAGCTGAGTTATCCTGGGAGTCCTCGGGAACTTCATAGCAGCTTTTCAGTTCTGCTAGTGCCATTTGCGCTAGGATGGGTCCAGGCCTTGTTTGACCATATGGCTTCCCTCAGAAGCATCAGGGATGTCTCCCTTTTTTAATGACTCTCCTCTTTACAGCAAATGCACCATTTGGCTTTCTGTCCTCCACTGGTCTCATTAATCTCCCTGCTCAGGAGGTTATGTGGCCTAGAGTTGCTGAGCCCTTTGGAGAAGTCCCCTATTCCCTGATTCAGACTGACTCAGAGGGCAAGAGCCAAATATTGGTTTTCTTGGCCCTTTTAATTTAACTAATTTTAAAAACTTGATCTTAAACATCCAGCAAATAAGTTAACAGCCTTATATTAAGAGCACTGGGCTTTAATGTCTATCTCTCTATCCTGTAGGTGATAACTCTTTATCTTATGTTGACCCAGGTTGTGTTCTTAAAGCAATACCTCTTTAGAATATTAATAGGCAATCCTTAAACCATCTATAAGCAAACTACAAAACAAAACTAACTAGGGTAAAAACATATTTAGCTTATATAATAGCTACCTTGAATTCTGGCAGGGTTATATATCATAATTTCCTGTTTGAGATCCTAGTAATCTTGGCAAAAACCTACTTTTGGACACAACTTTAACTGTACTGAAATCTGGCTTACTTTTTTTTTATAGCCATTTTCACATGTAGTGAGATGGGACAGAGCCTTATCTCAAGTAAGGCAGGGCTCTTTATAAATCTCAAGTACTATAGTTCTGAAGCTGATCATTTTACAAAGTTTACATAAATTGTTGTTCAAGTTTACATGAACATTAGCTAACACAACATAATATCACACCTAAAATATGAATTAAAGGCTGAAAGCTTTTAACTTCTTGTAGAAAAGTAGTAATGTACTTTTGTGTTTTGCAATTAAACCTTCACACAGATTAGGCTCTTATTAACTTAAAAATATATAAATTGTATCTTAGAGTAGAAAGTAACATGGAACTGTACATATCTTATTGATAACAAGTTCAGTTATAGAACACAAATGATATAATCGAATTTTCAACATTTTTTTTTTAAGCCTAAAATTACCATACAACTTTAGAACACCAGCTTGATATAATGTTCTTTTGAAGCTTTTACCTTACAGACTTGTATACCTGGAAGATATGAACACATTAATAACACCATAATTACATAAACCTCCTTTTGTTCACATTTTGAAACAATACTTGTAAACTTTTAAATTTAAGCAGAGTTAACATTTTATTAGGGCCTTTTTGAACACCTAGAGAAACTTATAAGCTTAATTTTGAGGACATCTTTACTTTTATCTGTTTACCCAATCTAAATTGAACCGTTTGAATCACGTGAATTAAAGATATTTGGATCTATTTTTAATTTTTTTTTTTTCAGGCTACCCAGTTCAAAATTGAAACTTTTAAAATTTTTTATCCCAAGTATTTAAGTTTTCTAGCATGAACTATCTGAAATCAAACTAAACAATTGTTTAAACCCAACTTTTAACTGCAAGATAGTGCAATGCTTTAGAAACCCATTCAGATACCAGATTGTTACAATAAAAATTATTATTATTTATTTTTTAGACACATATTTAACCTAGATTATCCCTAAGAAACAATTAGACAACCAGATAAGAAAATATCTCTCCAGGTTTTGAACTTTCATTTAATTATGACTCCCATCAGTGGCACCATAGATTTTCCTATGAGTGGACCAGATGTTTTCACGTAGGGGCAACTATAGGTGTAAAATCAAGGGTCTCAGTGTGACTGGCTTTACTGCATTCAGTGTCCCTTCTTTTTAAGTAAACAGAGGTTAAGTAAACAGATCCTTAAGATGTAGATAAGGACCCAGGGAACTCCCCAGAGCTAAATGGCTCTGGCAGCTGCTGGGAGTCCCTTAATCCTATCTTTTACCCACAGGATCAGTTCCTCTAGTTTAGGTATTTTTTTTTTTTCTAACTTGTTAGTAGCCAGCTCCCAAAAAGTCCATCCTCTGCTTGCAGTTGTTTCGAGTGCTAGGCTTCCCCAAGAAAGCAGAGTGGGAACTCCTTAAAAGTCCCCTTGAGAGTGTCAAAATTTGTGACTGAAAATTTGGTTCCCATCTCTAAAGTTAATTAACATTAATTTAATAATGAGGACAGGGCTTTGAGAAAAGTCAAAGCGAGATGTCAAAGTTGTTGATGCCCCAGCAGGCATCTCTATTTGCACTCAAGCCGGTTATGGGGGGGGAAGAAAACATTGCTTCCCTAGTCTCAGTATTCAGCCTTAGATAGAATTTATCATCCGCCTTGGGCTGCATTTCCAAGCAGCCCGACTCCAGGAAGACCCGTTCGCTTCCTGGGGTGGAGGGGCCGGGAGGAACAGGGACGGGACAGATCCGCCATACCGCCGGGTGGAATCCTCCCGGCGGACTGCGTGGATCCCACCCATGCAGGAGGGGATTCGCAGAGGTCCTGAAAGGTTAAAAGCCATGATCTGGATGGCCATGCGGCCCCGGCTGAAAGACAATCTCTGACTTTGCAAATTAGAGAGAGAGATGGAGGGACTCTCCTGGGGGCCATTTAACTTCGAGGGTGGGCCAATATTGGCCACTCCGTGGTACAGAGTGTTACCCATTTTTTTTTTTTGACTGCCACGGACAGGTTGTCTGCCCGATCTTGAACGTCTTGCCAATGATCTAGAGTTAGGCTCAAAGGGGTTGTTAGTGATTGTCCCATGTTATTCTCAGAGAGGAAATAGAGAGACAGACACAATGACACAAAAACGAAACCAAACAGTGAGATCGCTGCGCGGCTTCGGTGGAAACCGAACAAATCAGATGGCCTGGGAGAAGTTTGTACTTCTTTGTCGCCTACAAAAATGGTGTAACCCTCGGAAACACCGGGGGCCCCAAAGAAATGGACCCTTCTGATCCCTGGGACGTCTCCCAGGGTGGCAGGGGAGAAGTCCGAGTTCGTCAACTCCTTCTCAAGCTGCCTCAGAATACTAAATGACAGAACTGCCTCAGAATACTCAGAATACTAAATGACTATGCCTAGGATCATATAGTCTTACAGACACTGCGCGGAACAAAGAACAGATAACCAACAGGACAACAAGACAGTCAGTTTGAGCTGGCCAGCTTACCTCCCAGTGATGTCGGGTGTCCTCCGGATAGGGACCGGGATCGGAACCGGAACCGGGATCTTGGATCTCGGTGGGACCTCCACAGTGAAATATCCACAGATCCCAAACCCGGAATGAACCACATGAGACACTGGCTGCAAAAAGCAGGAGGCGTTTATTCTCACACAGGCGCCTGCGGGTGCACAGCAAAACCTCAGCCGGAGCTTCGGTGAACTGGCACACCGGGCTTTGGGGTATAGATCTTTTATAGGGAACAGGTGGGTTAGGTCTTAGCTTAGCACAGCAACAGCCTTCCTATTGGTCCCTCTGAATTCAGCAGTTGAGTCACCTAGGGGGGTAAACTTGTTTTCCCACTTTAGTTCTCAGAAAAACCATAAAATTGCATCCTGTCCTTTTAGTTCCTGTTTTTACCCTGTTTGCTCAAGTTTGGCCCTTCCGGGGTTATCTATATGGAACATCTTGTGGTAACATTGTGCGAGACTTGAAGTGCTACGTGCAGCTGGTGGGGTTTTGACATGGGGGTTGGGTAAGGGAACATCTTGCAGCTTCAGGGCACAGGGGTTAGTTTTCCTAATGTTGGGCCTGGGGCCTTGGGGTCCTTCACTACCTGCACTGTCTCTGGTGGACGAGGACCCGTCCCCTGGAGCGTACCCGCAGCTGGAGCTCATCCACTCAGGAAATGATGCCGAACTTGGATTCTGTGTTTTAAGATATGCTGGACAGGCCCGACGCGCTGGTGCTCTGGTCACCTGGCATCAAGCCTGGCCCCAGCAGGTCACATCTGCAAATGAGCAAATCGGTGAATCAGGGGGTTGTCAACTGCCTGGTTTGGTGGTACCTTTGAAATGATCTCAGCCATTACCCCTGGGGAATTGACCTGCAATGTCCCCTGCTCCTTTCATGTACCCTGGGGACCTGCCCCACGGAGGTCACTTCCCGAGGGCGGGCTGTCTTGTGGGTTACCGTCCACTGCGACGCCTTGGACGCCGTGTCAGCACAGGCTGCAGGTGTCTTGGAAGTGCGTTGCTCCCTCTGCAGTGAGACAGTGGCTTCCACGTGGGTGCTTGAAACCCCCACCCCGGGCAGTGCCACCTCGGGTCAGGGCGGGCAAGCCAGGCCGGCTTCCTCATCTGGGGTTCCCTCCCTGCTCTCCCTCCTACAGGTGCTATCAGAAAATCTAGGCCCCTGGGAAAGCAGGAGGAGAAGGCTTCTCTCGGTTTCCCAGGAAGCCCAGCGGTTGTTCTCATCAGGCACAGAAGAACAGGACCCGAAGGCGCAGTGTGGCCCCTGCTCAGCCCTCTCCCTCCCCCTCCCCCTCTCTGGGGGATGATCAGCCCCCGATGGAACAATGCAGGAGATGACGCCCCAGGTTGCACTCTGACCTCCACCTGTACCTGCAGTCACTGACCCCCGCTGGCAAGTCAGGGCCCAAGGCCTGGAGGGACTTTCTACAGCACTTTCCAGTGGACGGGGTCTCATCAGTGGACGTGAGACAGAGCGTGCGGCAGCTGCAGGCCATGTCAGGGTGTGACTTAGAGACAGTAGAGGGGACAGAGGGTGGGCATTCTTGGGTTCTGCACCCTCTGTCCCTGTGGGTAACTCCTTTGGGCATCAGAATGTTTGCCCTTCTATGCACGATGCCCTGCTATGGGCTGCTAATGCCCCAAAGCTGCTGCTCTTACCTGCAGACTTTGAGTCCGGGTCAGGCAGCGCGAGGCTGGCTGACCTCCTCTCGGAGCCCAGGGACCTTCTGGCCGAGCGGGAGCAGCTTTCCCTGTAGGTCAGTGTGACTCGGCTGTGGCACTTGCTGGTAGAGCTCGACTGCGTGGCTCAGGGTCTTCCATTTCCTCGTCTGCAAAAGAGACCACAGCCCCCGAGGCTCACGGTTGCAGAGAACCTTGAGGGTTTGACAGTGTCCCTGAACGCTGGCCGGCGATGGCAGCTCTGGTGGTGGCTACCACGGGGTGTCACTGGGATGACACAGTGCTGTCACTTTGTGCAGGTCCTATTGGTGAGGAAGGAGTCTAGGATAGGAATCTCCGTCACAAACATTTATTAATCAAACACCTGCTACGTGGGGACAGCACAGGGTGCCCACGCCACCAAGCCAACATCACCTTGTTCTTTCTCTCAAAAATCTCCATTTTGGTCTGATGATAGAAATTTTCTCTGTAGAGTAATGATCCTCCAAAGATGCCCAAGTCCTAATTCTAGGACTACATTACCTCACGTGGCAACTGGAGATGATCCAGGATTCTCTGGATGGTCCAGCGGAACCTCAAGGTGCTCACAGTGAAAGAGGGAAGCAGAGAAAGTCTCAGAAAGAGGGCGGCAAGAGAGACGGGCGGGTGTGCTGCCTTTAGATGGAGGAAGGGCCCTGAGCCAAGGGTGTGGGCAGCACTGGACGTGGCAATGTCCTGCCCCGGAGCCCCCAGGAGAGGCTGCCTGCCCCACCCTAATGTAGCCCACCAGGACCCACCTCTGACCTCTGACCCCCAGAGCTATAGGAGAATCAATTTGGGCTGCTTTATGCCACTGTTTTGGGGCACTTGGTTACAGCAGCCGTAGACACGAACCCCCTGGAAATCCGACACAAGGTTCCCTGTGTCCAGCCACCCCTGGACAGTGCTTGCCTTAGCAGCCACCATAGCAGCTGCTGAATTCCTGCTGGCCGTGGGAGGAAGGGGCCGGGGGCCAGGCTCTGAGTCCCCGCCTGCGCAGAGCTCATGGTGCCATGGGACGACTGTGTCCAGCAGGCAGTGGGACTTCTTGGAGGGATGTGTGCTGAACAGGGCGTGGGGAGTCTTCTGTGGTCCCAGCCATGCAGCGGTCACTGAGACACTGCTGCCCCACCCGGCCACCTTCCCTTGCTGGCCACAGCAGATGGGCAGACTCGGGGCTGGAGGCCACGGGTCCCGGGTGCTGGGATCTGAG